GGAAAGTACCTAACACCCACTTAGCAGGGGTCAATATAATTCCCAAAAAAGCTGATTTTCTCGATCCCAAAATAATTTTTTGCCCCCAATTTATAAAAAAATGCCCCCAATTTTGAAAAAAAATGCCCCCAATTTTTAAAAAAATGCCCCCAATTAAATTTTTTTTTTCAAATTCCACTAAGATTGGTTACCAATCTTTTTCAGGCCCAATTGCGGCTTTTAAAAATATTTTTGCGTACATATTTCAAATTGGTTTACAATGTTTACAAGTTACCCCTACCTCAGTACAAAGCATGGAATAACTGTGACGAGCCAAAGGTAGAGTCGAACCATTTTTCTGAAATGAAAAAAAAATATATTTTTCAAGTTTTTCTACATAGGAAAATTATGAATCATAATCATAATTCACTGCGGGCGTATTTTTAAGCCAAAATTGCGATTTTAAAATTAGAACAATGACATGTTCAATTCACAACGGTAACCTTTCAACTTTTGGCTGTCCAAGGATGAATAAGATATCTTTATATGTCTAGGGGAAAATGGATGAAGGAAATTAAAACAGTTTAACTCTTTTTAACCGAAATCTTCCTATTTGCTAAGGTTTAAAGGTTGGGTTGGAGCTCTTTTAATGAATTAACGGTGGTTGTCAAGGTTTACTGGTGTATAAGGTTTAGAATTAATCTTTTATAAGAAGGAGAAGAAGAAAAGAAAGAAGTGGCATTTTTGAGAAGAAATTCAGATCAGCATTTCTTCACCAGCCAGTCATCATATTTTCCTGAATAATGAAAGTATATAAAATATAAATATTAAATACAAAACTTGGCAAGAACTCCCTTGTGTTTTAAACACAAGAAAAACGACGGACATTTTAATTTGTTCGTATTATTGAAAATTACGAAAAGCGTTTCGAAGTTATAAACATCTAATTATTAACAAAGGAATCACTATATTTTTGCAACCCAAAGTCGTAGACCTTTAGATATTTCAAACTATTAATTATGTTTCATCAAATAAACTTAATATGAAATATCAAATGTTTACACTATTAAGTTCCTAAGATTCGCGCGATTCGAAAATTTGAATTTGTGGTAAAGAATCAATTCCTTTAATCAATTTACAAAATATTGACATTAAAGTCTAAAACTTTGTGGGTAACCCTGTCTTAAACAAGGATCAGTTTTAAATCTTAAATTTCGGCCACGCAATTTTTAATATTGTCAATATGGTCAGTATGGCCAGTATTGTCAATATGTCAGTATGGTCAGTATTGTCAATATTGTCAGTATGGTCAGTGTACATTATTCTTGTTATTGGTACACTATTCTTGTTATTGGTACACTATTTGTGTTATTGGTACACTGTTCTTGCCTCGGAATGAAATATTTAGATTGATTTTATGCAAATTTCACTTCGTTTTTACTTTGTATTATTGCTTAGAATAAGAGCGCTAACTCATTCTTCAAAATATCAAGAGACGGATCAATCCAAGAGGATCTCCAACATGAAACGTTTTTCTACAATTATTTGATAACCCTCCCAAAAATAAAGCCAAGAACCAGACACGGTTTACCAGTTATAATAGTTATAATATTATACACAGTATATATGTATATAGGGATATAGTACTTATAGATGATGGTTAGGTTTCATTAATAATTATTATCTCACTTCAACATTGTACATAATATACCAGTATACCGGATAATAATGCAAAAATAAACAGAAGACAAATGATGAAATAGCGCTAATCCACAACGGTTATAAAATGGTTGGTTCAAAATAATTTTTTACAAAAATGTTTTTTTACTCCATTTATGATGAATCTAGAATATGAACAATAAATGATAATATGAACAATAAATGATAATATGAACAATAAATGATAATATGAACAATAAATGATAATATGNATAGATAGATAGATAGATAGATAGATAGAATTAGAAATCATTAAATCTATCATGCAACTAGAATTTTAAATCTTAACATTGTTCTCAGAGTTTTAAATCTTTTTTAACAATTTGAAAAACATAAAAGATCTGATTACTTTCTAATCCCTTTGTGTGCGCGCATCTTTTGTACTGCAGTGTACTGTTTCCGGGCGGTAATGTAAACACAAGACGGATGTCGAAGCCTGACATGGAATCCATATTTTACATAAAAAATCAATTAAATATTCTGGTCATAGGAAACTATTATGTGAATTATCAAAATTATCAAAATTTAATGCTTTTAACCTCCTCGGATACTGATGCATCTATTCTTGTTTACAAATTCCACCCAGAGAGAACTGGTTTCAATATGTACGCAGAGTATACGCAACTGCAATTAACTTGCCTTGCATTATAACCTTGCTTTGTAAAATCCTAAATTACAGAGCAACATGATTAGAACAAAACTGTTTTGAATTTCTTGTACGTAACAAAATAGATTTTGCTTTCTCCTAGTTTTGCTTAAAATAAAACTAAAGTCGAGCTCCGAGATCACAAAGTCATACAAGTAATTTCTTATAAATTTGTCCATCTTCTAAATAGTAGAGCCTGAATCAGGCTGAAAAGATACTGAATTAGTTTTTTGTCTTATTGCAAAAAAATGCAGTAAAAATTAATAAAGAAGTAGGAAATAAAAAGATTATATCAATGTTACGAATGACAATTGCAAAATGTAATCTTGATATCCTCTTTTTCTTAATTTCCTAATTAAATAATACCTGGTCTCCTCTTGTTATTAATCTCCAGATTAATTAACAGATCGGGATTAAGGATATCCCATTCTAAAGTTTTCAGCTCTGGAGATTAAAAACAATAGAACAACCATTATTTAATCCGGAGATTTAGAAAAAAAGGAGATCAAGCATTAATCCCGATATCTACCATTCTAAAGTTTCCATCTCAGATTAATTAACAGAATAGGATTAAGGATATTCCATTCTTAAAGTTTACAACTCTGGAGACTTATTTTTTAATCGGCTTTAAAGCAAATCATACTAAAAAGAAATAAAAGAAATAAAAGAAAATATTTTAGAAAAATGGTTTCTCCGTAGAGATATGTGCATATATCAGTTTTTATGGATAAACAATGGTCAAACCACTCCTCCCCGGTTGGGGGGTAGGGTTGCGGGGGG